CCGCAGCCCGGGGCTCTCCGCCCCGCGCTGGGCTCCGGGGGCTGTGCGGGGCCGCTCCTCGCCTTCCCACTCTTTCTCCTCTTCCCTGCGCTCCCCCGGTTCTCCTGGGCTTCCCTCCTGCAAGTCTGCAGCGCTCTAGCTGTGCGGGATAAGTGCAGGATCTAGTCTCGCACGCATTCCCTAGGAATGGACCGGAGGTAATTTAAATGGGTTGGGTCCCGCTCTGCCCTGGCCCAGAGCTGCCGAGGAATACGGAGGTATGCGTAAAACAACTTGGTAAAAGCGATGATAGATTGGAGAGGGCAGGAATGAAATGGATTAGATGAGTTAGGAAGGACAACAGAGTGTTGAGAGTATAAACCAAGACAGGGAGGAGGGTGTGTATGTTCACAGAGGACTGTGATGTGGCTGCAAGGAGATCCCTGCAGAGTCATCTGTGGTGAAAGGATGGGGAATGTTCTTCTGCTTTCTCAGGCTTGGGGTGGGAAAAAAAATCCTACCTAAAAACTGAGTGGAAGTGGAACAGTGAGGTGTGCACTGCGTGTGTGAGGAGGAGGTTGGGGATGATCCACAGATTATGGGTTTGAGTGACGTAGACAGAGATGCAATTAGCATTGATAGCTAGCGTGGGGCTGGGGCTGTGGATGGCTTTGGAGGGAAGGGACAGTGTCAGCCTCTTTGAGGGGTATATGGATGAGTAGTTCAGGAGGCAGACTGGAGTGGCACTTTCTTTGTTTCAGAATTATCAATAAAGAAATAAAAGAGGAAAAAGCCATCTGGAATGGTTGTGAAATATCAACAGAAAAAAGAAGAGGAGCATCCTCCAAAAAGCTTATTAGAGAAATCGCACAGGGGTAGGCACAGAAGGCAAGAAATCAGAAAAGAGTGAGGTAGTGGGACAAGGTGTGAGCCACATAGTGACACTGGTGGTGGCATATTGGAAGGCTTTTTGTTTCAAAAAGACCTTGTTGTGTTGCAAAGCAGGGGTCAGTGAGAGGGCATCTCTGTTGGCAGCAGAACCTAGGGGTGGGTGTGTTTAGGAGTTCCTGCAAGGAGGCTGAGCAAGAGAGGGCACTAAATTCTACCAGTGTTAGTGGGCATACAGGTGTATGCTGGATAAAGGCAGTAAAGAAAGACCTCATCCTCCCTTGGGTAGAAGAATGATCTAAATAGGGTTTAAAATCTTATAATCTGGTCTTGGGGGTTGCAGTAATTATTCAATCTAAAAACTCTTTGCTTTTCTGGCCCTCTTTTTTTGAACATCCTTATTGCTTTAAAAGCTAGTGGTATCAAGTATTAGCTGTGTCTTGTCTTACTTTGTATTCAGAGAGTTTGTGGTTTGGGCCTTAGACTGTGTGTAGGTGAGGTGAGTTCTGTTCCTGGTTTTCCTAGTACCCTCCTTTGCTTTGTCCACAGAGTGTGCATCCTAGCCTTCCTCTCCCTTCATATGTGTCCATTCGCTTATGCTGGAAGTGAGCTTTTTCCTAGACTGTTGGGACAGGAGTCACAGAAGTCACCCACTCTGCAGGCTGTTTTCTGCTGGATACATCCCTTTCACCCACGCAAACAATTCCTCTCTTCACACAGGTGTGCTGGTGGCACAGAGAGATACCTCTGGTCTCCTCTGAGCCCTCCCCAGTGACTGGTGTGTCACTGGGAGGTACTGTCCAGGCCCATTAGCCTACTTAGGTACTAAAAACATCTCACTGCTTGGATGTGACTTGCTGTGTATTGGGGTAGTAAATGAACCCAGTGTTTTGGTGGGTTTTTTTCTGTCTCTGGAGTGTGGGATGATCTGAGTGAGTTTGAGAAGTTCCCTGACCTGTGAAACTTTCTCAGGCTTTGTGGTGCTCTGAGTTTGGCTGCACAAAGCTGTTGCTCTCTGGGCTGTCCATAGCTCTGTAGGAATGCTCACAGCGGGGTTAGAGTCTCAAGAAGTTACTCCTTTATCCTAAGTTTTTGCAGGTAAAGATCCATCGCTTCTTTTATGCAAGAGATCAGTGTCAACACAGATTAAGCCCAGAACTGATACATTAACTCTAAGCAGGGTAGAGGCAGGGGACAGTACAGGTTTGCCTTGTCTGTCAAATCAGATTTCACATCTGTCTCCTTCCAACATGGAGAGAATGTGTCTGTTCCTCCGAAGTTCTGTGGAAAGCAGTGCTATAAATTATTTGTGTGCTCTGTATGTTGTGGATAGCTAAGGAATCAAGAGGCAAGTGACAGGAATGAAGACCAGAATTCAGAGGATAATATAATTAGCTGCTGGGCTTCATCCTCTCTCACTGGAGGTTTGTATCTGCTGAAATCACTTCAGCTCCTCCAATTAATTGTACATCACATCTCTTCCTGGTATTCTCTGCTGCCTGTTCAGGTTACTGGAAACAGTAAACAAATGAGTTGAGGAGAAATAAGGAAAATTTATAGTTGAGATTTCCTGTGCTCTGAAGTCAGGATTCGCAAAGCTTGATTATAGCTTCCCCAGCAGCTACAAACTGTGATACTGTGGGAACGTGTTTGAGCAGCAGAGCTAACAACATAGCAATGCAAAATGGGAAGGTGTGTAAGAAACCAAGTACAAGCTGCTTGTGGAAAACAGAGCTTTGATTTTATTTATGTTTTTATATGTAAAATTGGTTGCAGCATTGTTTTAAGTATTTTGTATTTAATATGTTCTTTCTAAACTAAATTATCTGGTTAAATGAAAATTATTACCATAATTCAAGGTGAATTCATGCTTTACTGCTAGACCTTTTAAAACTTGAATTCATGTGGTTTAGTTACACAAGCAGAAGGTTTGTAGTTCAGATAAGTAGCAAAGACGTGAATTTTCCAATACCAGTGAGAATCTAAAAAAAAAAATGCTAGCTGTTCTGATTATTCTTGACTAGCAGCTGTCAACATCTGAGCATAAATTTACACATTCAGAAGGTAATAAGTGTATATTGAGAAGGTAATAAAATGAGTTCATTTTATTTTCCCCCTCAGGTGTAAGGCCCAAGCCACATCACATCCAGTAGATCCAACTTAAAAGGATGAAATAATTTCACCATTTCTTTTGAGATGGTATTGAAGATCGTTACTTTGTGTGTATGTGAGAGATCTGTCTGCTTGTCTTATTTTCCCAAGTCCCACTTAATGGCTGTGGTTCTGAAGCAATATGGGACTGTACAGGGTGTCACAGGTTGCCTGTCTAGCTGCTGTGGTCATAGTTAAGGGGTTTGTGTTTTTCCTGTTGATGAAATGGATAGCATGGGGTTCTGCAGCACTTCAGGCTGTTGATAAAAACCTTTATGTCATAAATTCAGTTGTATCTCTGAGAAGATCTGTTGTGAAGGTTATGCAGCCAGTTTCCAAATGTTAGAAGTCTTGGGGCCTGCACTGGGGACTAGGATGCAATGTAATAACCCAATCCAAGGATTTGGACCTTGCCTGTAAGAGCAGCCTTGGCTCTGAAGTTGCAGGAATCACAGTGAATCCAAATTAGAGACATGCACAGCAGAATCTTCTCTCCCTGGGCCATTGGGTCGATCCATTCTTGGCTGTTTGATCACCTGTACAATGTTGACATGGCCTCTCTTACAATTTCTTAGGCACAGAAAAAACTGTTTTTCCTCCCTTAGGAGACAGAGCTCAGATGAAATCAAAAGAAGGATAAAGTGTGGAGGAAAACAAAGAAGCTGCGATTGCTTTCCTGGTCTGCAGTTTGGCAGGGCAGTAAGATGTCCGTGGACATGAACAGCCAGGGCTCTGACAGCAATGAAGAGGATTATGACCCTAATTGCGAGGAGGAGGAAGAGGATGAGGATCCTGGGGATATTGAGGATTATTATGATGGGGTTGCTAACGACGTGGAGCAGCAGGGAGCAGATGCCTTTGATCCAGAGGAATATCAGTTCACCTGCTTGACTTACAAGGAGTCGGAGAGCACTCTGAATGAACACATGGCCAGCTTGGCTGCCACGTTAAAGGTGAGGAAAGGTTTCTGTGTTCACACAGGTGTAAAACAAGTCTGTGGTTCAACAGGCCAACACTGAGTGTACAGTTTGTAATAAAAGCTGTGACAATATTCCTGTTATGGGGGGTTGGAGGAGCGTTATTGAGGGTCCCTTGTTCAAAACTGACTCAAAGGTTTGCAGTTGTTACATACTCGTTCTGGGGCCTGAAAAATCTTCCGTGTTGAGGTTTGATTTTTTTTTTTTTTTTTTTTTTTTTTAACAGAGCTGAGCTTCCTGACCAAAATTCCTGAGTTATACTCTTTGCATTACCACAATGCAAAGAGGATATATAAAATAGAGACAAACCAAATCATAAATGGTGCAGTTTGGTACACCTGTGTTTGAGGAGATAACTGTCAAATAGGAAGATGTGTTGAAACTCTGTAATTCTAACATAACCACCTTTCTCTTTTGGTTCTGAGAGAATAATCATAGACTTTCAAAGACAGATCAGCTGTCATACCAGGTATTAAACCTACTGCTGCAGTGACAGCAGTTAAAGTACACTGAACTTACAACCTCTTGTATGACTAGTTCATCACAGAAAAGTCACACTCAATCAGCCTCATGGTATTATGTTCAACAAGACTTTTGAGAAGTTTTCTTACTCTTTGTGTAACTGATTACTGCAGTGCAGGATAGGCTTAAGAGGAGGCTCCCTCTCTGTCTTGTCAGTGTGCTTCAGCCTCAGTGCAGGTCAGAGGGAAGCAGGATTTTCTGAGCTCTAGATGTGGACACTGGGTGGAAATTGTTCTGCATCTATAACAGGTCTCCTACTGCTTATTCTTGTCTGGAATAACCCCTGAAAGCAGGTTACTGCAGCGTATAATAAACTGTTGAACAGGTTTTGATTCCAATTCATTCAGTCTGAATCAAACCTAATTTAAAAATGAGAGTGGTCTCTCGATCCTCCTTTGCACAGCACTGTTCTGTAGGAACAGTGTAACCATAAAGCCTGAGGATTACAAACCCATAAGCAATAGGCTCTAAAGGGCACCCATACTTCTTGCTGCATCTCTAGCTGATTTTGCCATCTGTTGGGCTTGTTCCCAGCATTCACCACCTCAGGAAATGAAGTTTTACTTTTTCTAGCTGTCAGGTTGTGTCTGTGATTATTTTGAAATGTGCAGTCTGAGCTCTGAGTGCCTGAAGTTCCCTACAGATTGTCAGAAAAGGAAAAAAAAGAAATTATAATAGTTGGTCAGGACTTCTGATTCAGCTGCCACTTGTTCTTGGTTCTGAGTGATTAAGTAAAGATGTAGAATGGTTTTTCTGCTCCTTACTGTTTGCCTTCAAATGGAGCACCCTTCAAACAGGTGACCCCTGCCAGCTTGTTCTATTGAATTAAATTACCAAAAGCAATACCTTATTTAGTCTTTAAAATCAGGCTTCCAAAGTTAAAATGAATTTTCCAAGAGTTCTGAAGGTTTCATTGAGCAAATATTATAGCTGCCCAGATAATACCAACCTGCTAGCTCAAATCTCGCCCCAAATATGACACAAGGAGACAACATTTTAGATTCCTTTCAGATCAAGGATATGCCTGCATATTGACATTAAAAATGAAGTGCTACACATTTTGGTTTGTGCATGTGAAGATGAAATTTAATTTGGATAGAAACCTGAAAAGCTGTGATCTTGTAAACCACAGACTAAGTCTTTAGCTCTTGAAGTGCCACATTAACTCTCTGTTCTCTAGCAACAGTAGTGCAAGAATTAGACTTTTCTTGGAAATCTGTTGTGTATCTGCAGCATGTGCTCTCTGTTTCCTGGTGCAGTTTCTCACAATACTTCAGCAAGCCTGTCTCTTCCTTCCCCTCTCTTCCCCCAAGGAAACTTTTGATTTTGTAAGTTTTCTGAGACAAACTGGAGTGGAAAAAATTAGTGTCAAAATAGCAAGCACAGAGAAGAAGGAAACAGAATAGAGCATGTTATCATTTTTTTTCCATGGACTTAGTGGGTATGAGTAAACGGGCAGATTTTTCTAAGAACTATATTAACTTTTCTCTTAATTTGTATGAGCTCTAAAAACTGCTTTTTCAATTGAAGACTACTTTTCACGATGTCTTGGGTTTTCTTGGGCAGCGATGATTGTTCTCTTGGTGCATGCTAGTTAATTTTGTTGATTTCATCTCTCTTACCTTGGGATAGATACTGGTTATGTAGTGCTTTTCAGAATTAGCTCATGTTTTAAGGCATAGTGATTGCCCTGACAGGGAAAGCTGGAGGTAAATTAAAGACTACCTTAAGGACGTGCAATGGTGAAGACAACACATGGCACTGTGTCTAAGCTATGTGCTATCACAAGAAATTAATAGATTAATAGAGGTTCCTGAAGCAAATCAAAAATTAATGCAATAAATGGGCTTAAAGCAGTGTTTGAATGTTCTGCTGCTGTCTGTTGTCATCAGGTGATTCACTTTCTCAAGGTTAAATCCCCCAGTGCAGATATTGAGTGTGATTTTTTTCTGTGACATATTGTCTACATACTTTAAAGACCAGAAATAGGATTTCAGAGCTTTATGTCTTCATATTTGCAATCTATACTATTATTGGCAAATAGCAGTCTAAATAAATAGTTTTTCATTAGCTCTGCTCATTAACCCTTAACCTTTGTTTTTCCAACTGTTTTGTTCAGCTATTCCAGACTGATTGTTGAATTCCTAATTTTTTAAAAGCCTTGAGGTAAAGGGTGATCTTCTTGGCTACGTGTTTTCATTCCC